GCCAACATCATTCTTAATGGAGAGAGGCTGAAAACATTCCCCTTGAAAACAGGAACAAGACAATTATGCCCTTTATCACCACTCCTATTTAACATTGTACTGGAAGTCCTAGATAGAGCAATAAGGCAAGAAAAAGAAATAAAGGGCATCCAAATTAGTAATGAAAACGTTACTGTCCCTGTTTGCAGATGATATGATACTATACATAGAAAACCCAAAAGACTCTGTGACAAAACTACTGGGACTAACAGGAAGATTCAGCAGAGTAGCAGGATACAAGATAAACTTACAAAAATCAGTTGGATCCTATACATCCCTATACATCAATAAAGAGAACAATGAAAAGGAAATCAGGAAAACAATGCCATTTATAATAGCCCCCTAAAAAAATAAAATACTTAGGAATAAATCTAACCAGGGATGTAAAAGACCTATACAAAGAAAAGTACAAACACTACTGCAAGAAACCCAGAGGGATATGCATAAATGGAAAAACATATGATGCTCATGGATAGGTACACTCAACATTGTGAAAATGACAATTTTACCCAAAGCAATTTACAAATACAATGCAATCCTGATCCAAATACCAACAACATTCTGTAAAGAGATGGAAAAACTAATCATTAACTTTATATGGAATGGGAAGAAGCCCCGAATAAGTAAAGCACTATTGAAGAAGAAGAATAAATTAGGAGTACTCACGCTACCTGACCTCAGAACCTACTATACAGCTATTGTAGTCAAAACAGCCTGGTACTGGTACAACGACAGATACATTGACCAATGGAACACAATTGAGAACCCAAATGTAAATCCATCCACTTGTGGTCACCTGATCTTTGACAAGGGCCTAAAGTCCATCAAATGGAGAAAAGACAGTCTATTTAACAAATGGTGCTGGCAAAACTGGATATCCATCTGCAAAAAAATGAAACAAGACCTGTACCTCACACCATATACAAAAACTAATTCAAAATGGATCAAAGACCTAAATATAAAGCCAAAAACTATAAAGTTCATAGAAGAAAAAAGACGACTAACGCTAGAGACCCTAATACACGGCATTAACAGGACACAAACCATAACCATCAACACACAAACTCCAGAAGATAAGCTAGTAACTGGGATCTTCTAAAAATCAAACACCTATGCTCTTCAAAAGACTTCACCAAAAGAGTAAAAAGAGAACCTACAGATTGGGAAAAAATTTTTGGGCATTACAAGTCAGACAAAGGTGTAATCTCCATAATGTACAAGAAAATCCATCACCTCTACAACAAAAAGACAAATAATCCTATTAAAAAATGGGCAAAGGAAATGAACAGACATTTCACCAAAGAAGACATTCAAGCGGCCAAGAGACATATGAAGAAATGCTTGCCATCACTAGCGATTAGAGAAATGCAAATTAAAACCACAATGAAATACCATCTCACCTCAGCATTACTGGCACGAATCAAAACAGTGGCAATAACAAATGTTGGAGGGGCTGTGGGGAGATCAGAACTCTTATGCACTGCTTGTGGGAATGCATAATGATACAACCATTTTGGGAAATGATATGGCGCTTCCTTAGAAAGCTAGAAACAGAAATACCATACTATCCAGCAATCCCACTCCTAGGAATATATCCTAGAGAAATAAGAGCCATCACACAAATAGACATATGCACACCCATGTTCATGGCAGCATTGTTCACAGTAGCAAAACGATGGTAACAACCTAGATGCCCATCAACAGATGAATGGATAAACTATGGTACATACACACAATGGAGTATTATGCAATGATAAAGTGATGAATCTGTGAAGCATCTCATAACATGGATGAAACTGGAGGACATTATGCTGAGTGAAATAAGTCAGTCACAAAAGGACAAATATTGTATGAGACCTCTATTGTAAAAACTCATGAAAAAGTTTACACCCAAAAAGTAACAATCTTTGTTGGTTAGGAGGGATGGGAGGGGTGGGGAGAAAATAGTAAATAGACAATAGATAAGTGGTAACTTTGGTGAAGGGTACGACAGTAGACAATACTGGGGAAGCCAGCACAACTTGTACAAGGAAAGGTCATGGAAGCTCCATAGACACTTCCAAACTCCCTGAGGGACTGAATTGCTGGGCAGAGGGCCGTGGGGACTGTGGTCTCGGGGAACATCTAGCTCAATTGGCGTAACACAGTTTATAAAGACAATGTTCTACATTCTACCTTGATGAGTAGTGTCTGGGGTCTTAAAAGCCTGTGAGCAGCCATCTAAGATACTCTACTGGTCTCACTCCTTTGGGAGCAAGGGCGAATGAAGAGAACAGGATACAAGGAAAAGATTAGTCCAAAGGACTAATGGACCACAGCTACCAAGGCCTCCACTGGACTGAGTCCAGTATAGCTAGATGGAGCCCAGCTATCACCACTGACTGCTCTGACAGGGATCACAACAGAGGGTCCTGGACAGAGCTGGAGGAAAATGTAGAACAATATTCTAACTCACAAAAAAAGATGAGACTCACTGGCCTGACAGAGACTGGAGAAACCCCGAGAGTATGGCCCACAGACACCCTTTTAGCACCCTTTTAGTGAAGTCACTCCCGAGGTTCCCCGTTCAGCTGCAGATTGGACAGCCCCATAAAACAAAACTGGAGTAATGAGGCACAGCAGTCCACGGACAAGGACTAGAAGGCAGAAGGGGACAAGAAAGCTGGTGGTAGGGAACCTAAGGTTGACTAAGGACGGTGTTGACATGTAGTGGGGTTCTTAACCATTGTCACAGGGCAATATGTGTACTGTTTAATGAGAAACTATTTTGTTTTGTAAACCTTCATCTAAAATGAGAATAAAAGCACAACTGGAAGAACATAATCGACGTCACTGAATTGTACATGTAGAAATTTTTGAAATGGTGTATCTTTTCACCAAAACAAAAATAAGGTCCTCCAAGGCCAAGAAGGAAGCGTGTTGACATGTCGTGGGGTCGTTAACCAATTTCATAAAATAATATGTGTACTGACTGTTTAACGAGAAACTATTTGTTTTGTAAACCTTCATCTAAAGTACAATTAAAAAAACAAAACATAAGGTGGCTTCTAGCTTCCCAGGAACCTAGCCAGAAAGCCACCTTTCTGTAAAAAGAGGCAAGTGTTTCCCAGCTTCGGAGAGGAGGTACCCACAGATCTCCCAGGAATTTCCCTTGCCAAGAGGCAGAACTTTTCCTCCTTTCACATCCTCTCTGGACCCCTGGCCTGAGGAAATAACAAAGAAACCCTATGAAGTAGAAAGTTTGCCCTAGTTCTCCTTCATTAAGCAATAATATTCATTATAAAAGTTCACCCATGCTTAACACCTGACAGAGAAAAATTGTGAGTGAGAAGCTTCCTTGGATTTTCTCAGTTGTCTTTATCTCTCAGTCTTTGTCACTCTGCCTTAAATGTCCACTATTACCACTTAACCCCCAAGAGATTTGCATGGGATTGGGAGAAGGAATTGAAAGTTTGACTCAAAGGAATGAAGTGGCTTTTATGATACAATGTCACACCTTGGTGAGAAGCGGAGAAATATTTTAGAGATGGGAGGGGGGCAGTGTTTTCTAGTCTCTGGAATCGCAAGCCTTTCCAGAAAAATGTCAGGGTGGCCTTGCCTGTTTGGATAGGCGTAGAATAGTCTGGAAGCCTGTTACCAGGTTTGACTAGCTTGCCCTCTATACTAGTGATTCTCAAACTTAAATATGAATAAGACTCATCTGGGGAATATATGAAAATGCGTTTTCCCCAGGTCCTACCCACAGAGACCTAACTTTGCACTCTCGGGTGGGACCTAACAATTTGCATTTTCCACAATCACCTCAGGTACACAGAACACAGGTGGGCAGTGGCTCACTTTGAGAATCTAATGGAGAAGGAAGAACAGTCCTCCTTGCTAAATTTTGTTCCTGGGCCATGTTGTTGTTGTATACCTTCGAGTTGATTCCGACTCATAATGACCCTATATGACAGAGTAGAATTGCCCCAAGGGTTTCCTAGGTTGTTATCTTTATGGAAGCAGATTGCCACGTCTTTTCTCCCATGGAGCAGCTGGTTCGTCCAAACAGCCGACCTTTCAGTTAGCAACCAGGCCCTTAACCATTGTACCACCAGGGCCATGAATTAGCTTTTTTGATAAGAACCTCAAAAATATGAATTGTTTGAACATACCGACTGAGTACAAATCGTTGCTTTTCCTCTTTTCCCCTCTTATCTCCCTGCAGGTCTGTTTCAACATGGGCCACATGGTACTTGCCAAGAAAATGCTGAGGAAGGCACTGAAGCTCCTCAACAGAGTCTTCCCTTACACTTTATTCTCTCTGTTTCTCCATACCCACGTTGAGAAAAATAGACACTTTCATTATTTGAATCAGCAGACCCAAGAGAGCCCGCCTCATGGGTAAGGGAAGGAGCTGGGGAGAGCTGAGGGTCTCGTCTCACTCCCCAGAGGAAAGAGACCCACACATACTCCACACATAGCCTCCAAAACCTGAGTTTCAGTGGGGTGCAATGACTCCTGCTTGGCTCTAACCAATCACCAATCACTTTGAAGCACATGCAGGAGTGGCTCCCAGGCCAGGGTCAGGTTGCCCCAGAGACTCTCACAGGCAGATTTTGCCAAAGGGAATCCACGTGGCAAAAGCATAAGGGACTCCTTTGCAAGGTGAGCTCAATGCCCCACTCCCTTCCTTCCTCCCTGCTAACCAACCATGTTGCAATTGGAATCTGCACCACCATTCCTAAGCCCTCTTCCATTCAGTGTTAAGATCCTGGGTATTGTCCCTGACCCAAAGAAAAAGAGCAAAGCTTGAAGACATCTGCCAAAGAACAAAACTGCCTACATATCTAGGTATGTCGATAGGGATGTGGGTTAGATGGGGGTATAGATCTGTCAAAACTGCAGTTTATACTTGTACATTTCAATGTATGTATCTATTATCTATCAAAGAACTATTAAAAAATAATCGTGGGAACACAGTGTGTAAAAGGGAAGATGAAATAAGAATGCTGATAGTTGTTGAAACTCGGTGTTGGGTACATGAGGGTTCATTATACTCTTCTGTTTACTGTGTATATGTTTGAAATTTCCCATAATAAAAGTTTAAAAAAAATTCCACCTATATAGCAATTCATACTAAGGGAGATGCCACCTAGTTCGCGATCTGGAGAGCTAACAGAGGACTTCTGTTCCATCTCGTAGCAATATTCCTACAGGTTCTGCCATGATACAAACATGTATTTCTATGAGCAAGTTGCTGTAATTCTTTTGCAACCCTACCAAAACCCGCCTTCTCCAGCTTCCCAAGTGTTCCTTTAAATGTGGGGGATCCTGGGATGGAAATGAGGTAGAGTTGAACTCCTTTGCAGGTTGAAGGCAGGCCCCTGGGAACACCTGCTTGTTGCTCTGCAGACTCCAGGAAGAAGGAGGTGAGGAGAAGTTCAGTAGATATCTTGCTGAGAACAAAGAAGTAGGAATGTGGTTTATATATAGGGTTGTCAGATAAAATACAGAATGCCTAGTCTATATATATTCCATGCAATATTTAAGGCTACATATACTAAAAAAATTATTCACTTTGAAATTCAAATTTAACTGAGCATTTTATATTTTCATTTGGTAAATCTGACAACCATAATTTACAACCACAGTATGTAAAAAGAGCAAGAAGAAGTACCTGCACAAGGAGAAAAGGTAAAAATGTATTGAAGAGGAAGACTGGAGCTGTTGGCTTAAACCATTCACCAGTCAAAAGGTTCTCCTCTCTAAAGCGAGGGCAATAAGAAACAACATTTAATGTCAGAGTTTCTACGGCTGGCATGAACATCCTCCATGTTATAAGGGATTTTACCTCATCCATCTTTCCTTAGAATCTTGTTTGACGCAACAGAATCAACATCATCAATATCTAAATTGAAAGTACCTGGACTTCTCCTTTATTAAGCAACTCTACAATCTCCCTTCTTTCTTATCTTTATTTAAAACCTACTTTTTGAGAAATATTTATAATTATATTTTGTTTTCTTGGTTTGTTAAATCACTAATGTTGCATTCATGTTGTTTAGGCTCCCTTTGTTTTAATCACACATCTAAAGGATTTTTGGCTACATTATTAGTTAAATTTCCTGTTGTGGCTGGACCTTTGAATCCAAACATTCTTTGGAGAAAGTAGTCCATTTTCCCCTTGAACATCTCCAGCACAGGATGTTCACCACCTCCTGTGACATTCCATTCCATTGTTGGAATGCAATTGTTAAAACTTCTCATTTCCTTTGTTAAGCTGAGACCTGGTTCCTAATAACAATGTGCAGTCTACTACCTGACCAAGTAGATGGGTTTTTGAGTCCTAGAACTACCATATTCTAGCTGTGTGACTTTAATTACTTAAGCTGTTTGAGTCTCACCTTCCCCATCTGTAAAATGGGGTTAATTATTCCTTCCTTTTTTTATGTGGTTGTCTCCAGAATCAAATGTGATGAATGATATAAATGTGCTTTTTAAATAGCTACCACCGGACAGGTGCTTTACATAAGTTATCTTAATCATCACAAAGTAGGTTTCATGGTCTCTATTTTACAATGGAGAAACTGAGCTTCATAAAAATCAATTAATGTGTTTGTCAGTCAGTGATGGAGGCAGGCCTCAAACTCGTCAGTTTTGACTCCCAAGCTTGTAGTGAGAATACTACGCCCTTGAGCTCCCCCTAAGGCATGCTGATGATTACCTTCTTTCTATGTCTGTCTGTGTTTATCTAATAGGAAGAAGAGGTTGGCGCAACTTTATCGGCAAACTGCCTGCTTCTCCTTGCTATGGAAGATTTATAGCTCAAATTATTTTTTTCACTACAAGTATTATGCTCACCTGGCAGTTATGATGCAAGTGAATACTGCACTGGAAACTCAAGATAATTTCCAGGTAGGTTATTTTTGCTGGTGGTGCAGTGATTAAAAGCTTCTGCTAACTAAAAGGTTGGCAGTTCAAATCCACCAGCCACTCCTTGGAAACCTTATGAGGCAGTTCTACTCTGTCCTGTAGGGTTGCTACGAGTCGGAATCAATTCGATGGCAATGGTTTTTATTTTCTCTTGGTAAAATAGTTTATATCTTGCTTTTTAATGTCCAAATCTCATTTGGAGAGAAAAACTTCACAAAAGTCTGTCAGGGTTCAGACTTCTGGGCAACATGGTGCTATAGACAGAAGCACCATGCCATCACTCCACAGCAAAGACCCGAGAAACTAAGTCAAACAGAGACAAACGTCAATCCTGGAACCCTAAGAATCAAATGAAGAGATAAAGAACTCAGCCAAGCACTGAATGGAATAAGAAACTGACAGAGTGAGGAGAGTTATGAGCGGAGGTCGCCTATCAGCAAACGCAGCACGGATTTGCCATCTTGGATTCCTATAGGAGATCGGTAGACAGGGAGCATGGGAAAGCAGCTTCACAGAGCTCCCAGCAGGAGGCAGAACGACTGGTAACCAGCAATATATGCTTTCCCACCCTCCACCCTTCTTCACCCCCGCTAGACCTCCTCTGCTTCTTGTGGCCATAGTCTCTTGGCCAGGAAGCACTGGCTTCAGCCCAGTGTCACCTGGATTCCACCTGCCCACACTGGCTGGCTTCCTGAGTATTATTTGTTTGTTGCTGGTGTCGCTTTTTTCCATTTCTTTTGTTTTCTTCCATACCTCTCACCACCTCCGCCTCCTTTCTCTCAAATATCTGGCTCTGAGTGCCATCTTTGTTCTTCTTAAAAGGCTGTGAAACACTGCTTGACTGTGGAACTGCTTCCTGGCCTACGCTGCCATGCTGGTGGGTTCTCCAGGGCTTTTTGTTTTGTTATGATTTGTTCTGTTTGTTTGTTTTTCTTTTCTCAGCTTGGGAGCCCATTCTAGCTGGGCTGTACTGCGTGGCTTGGGAGCTAAGTCCCCAGTCTGCACAGCTGCATGGTGGAATCCCTGAGAACATTTCTTTTTCCCTTTTTCTTTTTGTTTTCTTTTCTCTCCTTTTTTCCTTTTTGTACTTCTTCATTTCTCAGTTTCTCGTCTCTCTGTACTTACATTCTCTTTCTGTCTCCTGAATACCTGGTGCTGTGTGACACCTCTACTCCTTCTACCAAGGCTGTACTTCGTGGCCTGGGAACCACTTCCTCAGTCTTTGCAGCCACATTGGTGGGATCCCTGGGGACTTTTCTCTTTTTTCTAATTTTTATTTATTTATTTATTTTTTTACCTTTTTTCTTTTTTTTTCCTTTTTGTTTTACTTCATGTCTCGGTTTCTCATCTCTCTACTCCAATGGCAAGCTCCCTTAGCACTATTGTCTTTTGTTGGTTCATTTATTTTTGGCTACTCTTTCTCTTTCCTCTTTCCCATACCCATATTAGCTCCACACATCACAATCTACCCCCTCCTTCCTGCCTACCTGCACTGTGCACTGAATATCACACCCCCGAGCAGCACAGGCACAACCTACTGGAACCTGCCCTGCATTGATTCTTGGCCTGCCCTGTCGGCCCTAGTACATGCCATAAACAACCCATCCCAGGAACTCCCCTTCAGCTGGACTTTCCCTGCTGCACCATAGCTGAGTGACTGAACCTGCCCATTGGACAAGAAGGTGAAAAGTATCGTGCCCACAGATGAGCAAAAAACAAAGAATGCACAGCCTGGATGCACAGGCATAACAAAATAAAACAAAAAAGCAGGATGAAACAAACAAATCTACAATCAGTAAACGTGGAAAATAACTACTGAATGTCCTGAAGACAGCAGTTTCAAAACATATCAAAAAAACAGGATAGGATGGTTCCAGTAGGTGTCCAAAATAAAACACCAGATGACTTTCCAGCAGAAAAAAAGACACTAGAACTACCTGATAGGGAATCCAAATCTCTAATATTCAGAGCTATCCAAAATGAGGAAAAAATAGACAAAAGCATGGAAAAGACAGAAAAATTCATGGAAAATACAGACAAAACAAGCGAAGAATTCAGGAAAATAATACAGGAACAAAATGCCAAAATAAATTTACAACTAGATATCATACAAAAACAACAATTAGAAATTCAAAAGATAAACAACAAATTTCAGAAATGGACAGTGTCATAGAAGGGCTGAAGAGCAGGTTTGAAATGATGGAAGACAGGATCAGTGAAATTGAAGATGAACAATTGTATACAATAATGTTTGATGAAAAATCAGAAAAAAAGAATGAAGAAACACTGAGAATGATGTGGGATACAATCAAAAACAAAAATCTGCAAGTGATAGGAGTTCCAGAACAGGGGGAGAAAATAGAAAACACAGAGAGGATCATTGAAGAACTGCTGACAGAAAACTTCCACAATATCAAGAAAGATGAAAAGTTGATCATCCAAGAAGCTCAGTGAATGCCATATAGGATAGACCCTGTCTTAGTCATCTAGTGCTGCTATAACATAAATACCACAAGCGGATGGCTTTAACAAAGAGAAGTCTATTTCCTCACAGTCCAGTAGGCTACAAGTCCAAATTCAAGGTGACAGCTCTAGGGGAATGCTTTCTTCGTCAGCTCTGGAGGGAGGTCAATGTCATCAATCTTCCCTTGGTCTGGGAGCTTCTCTGCAGGAACCTCAAGTCCAAAGGATGCACTCTGCTCCCGGCACTACTTTCTTGGTGGTATGAGGTTCCTATGTGTCTCTGCTTGCTTCTCTCTTTTATATCTCAACAGAGATTGGCTTAAGACACTATCCAATCTTGTATACTTCATCAGTATACTGCCGCTAATCCATATTATTAGATCATAGTGATTGAATTTACAACACATAAGGAACTCACATCAGATTATGAAATGGTAGACAATTATACAATACTTGGAATCATGACCAAGCCAAGCTGATAGATATTTTTGGGGAACACAATTCAATCGATGACAGACCCCAGAAGAAAATCACAAAGGCATATCATAATCACACTCACTAAAACCAAAGACAGAGAAAGAATCCTGAGAGCAGCTCAAGAAAAACAAAAAGTCACATACAGAGGAGAACCAATAAGACTAAGGTCGGATTATTTGGCAGAAACCATGCTGGCAAGAAAGCAATGGGATGACATATATAAAACCTTGAAAGAAAAAAAAAATACCAGCAAGAATACTATATCCTGCAAAACCCTCATTCTAATATGATGGTGAAATTAAGACATTTCCAGATAAACAGAAATTAAGGGAATATGTAAAAGTCAAACCAAACTTACAAGAATTATTAAAGGGAGTTCTTCGATCTGAGGACAAACAGCTTCAGCTCACATGCAGAACCTAGGACGCAGGATCGTATGAGCCAGATACCAATCTAGGAAACGAACTCTCAAGGACTATCCAAAACCGAAAGAATTACAACAGTGAAACAGAGAGGTTAATCTGTAAATGACAACAACATCAGAACAATAAAAGAGGGAATAAACAGTGTAGGTATAGAAACCTCTAACGAGAGGAAGGCCAGGCAAGACCAGGTAATAAGAGACTGGTTCAAACCAAGGAAGATAAGGGTAAATTTCAAGGTAACCACAAAGAAAGTTAACAAACTTACTAATCAAAATGAAGAAAAACAAAGTCTCAGTAAAAACAGAATCTACAAAAACGAACAAAATGAAAAAAAAATCCACAAACAAAAGGAATTCAACACAGGACAGTAAAAGGAACAAAGAAAACGTTAGCACCACAAAAAAAGCACTACAAAATGACAGCAATAAACTCACATGTATCAATAATTACACTGAATGTAAATGGCTTAAATGCGCCCATAAAGAGACAGAGAGTGACAGAATGGATAAAAAAAGCTGGAGCCACCAATATGCTGTCTATAAGAGACACACCTTAGAAACAAAGATGTAAATTTATTAAAAATCAAAGGGTGGAAAAAATATCAAGCTAACAGCTACCAAAAAAGAGCAGAAGTGGCGATACTAATCTCAGATAAAATAGACTTTAAAACAAAATCCACCATAAAAGACAAAGAAGGGCACTATATCATGATTAAAGGGACAATCCAGCATGAAGACATAACCATAGTGAACATCTATGTACCCAATGACAGGGCTCCCAAATGCATTAAACAAACTCTAACAGCACTGAAAAGAGAAATTGACAGTTCCACAATAATAGTAGGAGACTTCAACACACCACTTTTGGTAAAGGACAGAACATCTAGAAATAAACTCAACAAAGATACAGAAGATCTAAAGGCCACAGTCAACCAACTTGACCTCATAGACATACAGACCACTCCATCCAACAGCTGCAATGTACACGTTCTTTTCCAATGCACATGGAACATTCTCCATAATAGACCACATCTTTGAGCAACCCTCAAGAAAACTCAAAACACTGAGATAATACAAAGTACCTTTTCTGACAACAATGCCATCAAGGTAGAAATTAACAACAGGAAGAGCAAGGAAAAAAAATCAATTACATGGAAACTGACTAGTACCCTGCTTACAAACCACTGGGTAATAGAAGAAATCAAAAATGGAATAAATAATTCCGAGAATGAATACACATCATTCCAAAACCTTTGGGAGACAGAAAAGGCAGTCCTCAGAGAACAATTTATAGCAATAGATGCACACATCAAAAAAGAAGAAAGGGACAAAATCAAAACACTAATTACACAACTCGAACAAATAGAAAGAGAACAGCAAAAAATGCCCACTGCCACAAAAGAAAGGAAATAATAAAAATCAGAGCAGAAATAAATGAAATGGAGACCAGAAAAACAATAGAAAGAATCAACAAAACCTACTTTGAAAGGATCAACAAAATCGACAAACCACTGGCCAAACTGACAAAAGAAAAACAAGAGAAGACGCACATAACCCAAATAAGAAAGGAAATGGGGGACACTACAACAGACCAAACTCAAATAAAAAGGATCATAAC